AACCACTACAAACGCCACAAAACAAGTATTTTATGTAGTACGTGCGATGTCTATATTGAACGCACGAACAAAAATTAGACGCATGAGATGGCGTATTTGAGGGATCTCATGTAAAAAATTCCAATCCCACTGTTCGATATTTCGAGAACTAAACTTTATTGACATATGACTTATAGTCATGTTATACAGACAGTCATGGTCGCGTCAAATGTGAAATTGTTGTTGTTTTTATTAAGAATGAGAGAAATAGAAGAACTTCAATTAAAATTTGGTCCCGGTGGCAACGCTTTCTGTGCGTCTTCAGATTATTTAAAACAGCTTTACACAATAAACAATGCCAGAATTTGCGGTTACAACGAGTAAGTATTTTTGTGCGGATATGTAAGTACAAAAAAAACGTAACTAAATAACAGTAAAAGCAGAAAATTGACAATTGTGTTATACACTCTCTATATAACATTCTTTTTAGCAACAACCGAAAAAAGTAAAAAATTATAGGGGCTATTCGTTATATGACTGTCTCTTTGTCGGGATTCTTAATAAAAAAAAAGTTGTTTATAATAGCAAATTTAACAATAATTCAAAGTCAAATGGGTGTGCTTAGGAAATCTGAGTTGAGTTCTTATTTGAAGATACTATTCCGATTACCGGTCGACGCCGATTTGACAACAATCGCAAAGTTCCCACTTATTGTTGCACTAAATATGCCAATATAACACAATGGAGCAATGGGTCCAAGTGGGATCCTTAGATTCGCTTACCTTTTAAAATATTTAAGTTTAAAGTCATAATATTTTTACATTAAATGCAATTGCCAAGATAAAACTACACACTTCAACTAACGCCAACCAGTATGTGTATGTAATTTTCAACTTGAAAACTCGATATCTAGAAAACTAAGCTATGTTATATTGACACAAAACGTAGTAGAAAAAGTTGCTCAAACAGTTCTATTTACCAAATTCCTTCATCAAATGGGAGTCCCTAGGATTTATCTGAATCTTGCTCATATTTATTTAACTTTATTTTATGTATTTATTTGTTTATTTGTTAAGTTTATATAATTTATTTATTTCATTTTACTTTATTTTTTTATTTTATTATTTTATTTTTTTTTAATTTATTTTATTTTATTTTTTATTTTATTTCATTTTATTGTATATCTCACCAACGAGATTGTAGAAAATAAATTTCGGCATCCGAACTAATTGATATAAATAGGTTGTAAAGTGCAGAACTGTATGGACTTCTATTTTTCTTCTCTCTAGTATTATATTATTCTAGTAATCTCAAATTGTTCCAAATTTTATTACTCAAAATTTGAAATAATCAAATTTCTTTAAATATGATATCTTTATTAATCTTTTTCAATTAAATTTTCTATTTTCAATTATTTAAATGCAAGCTTTCGAATAATATATTAAAATGTTCCGAGTTAGGAACCAAAACAGAAATTCAAGAAATTTCCAAACTTGAGGAGTGTGGCTTATTTGATACTTTGTGGCAGAATTTCCTAAAATGCGTTGAGGAAAACTTTAAAGTTGAGACAAGTGGAAACAAGCATAAAATCAATCATGGAAGTTAATGGATAAGGTAAACTTTCAGTTCGTTACAGAACGTGAAATTGCCCCTGAAATATTGTGTGCCAACTTTCGGAAAGTTTTAATTGCCAACGCGTACGGGGAGCTCAACAAATTTGTAAATATCCACACATATAAACTGACAAACTTCAGATACTAAGGTAACTTAAATTGAAAATAAATGGAAAAATTTAAAAAATTAACCAAAACTGAAGCGACAATGAGATAACATAAAAAAGTAAATTATGATTTCATTTATACTCTATAACTCGATAATGGAAGATGCAATGCAAATACTTAGTTGATGGTGTAAAGTAATAAAATAATAAAAAATTTATTAAAAAATTTATTAACACAGTTTGAAGTTTTGATATTAAAAATTAAATTCAATGAAAGTCAACAACTACAAAGGCCACTGCATTTCATTGTGAATGACATTCAGTAAAGCAATTTCGATTCCGAACGAGTACCAAAAGTGACAATTAGAATGAAACTAAAAAAAAAAAATTAAAAATAAAGGACACAAATAAACTTCAATGCTAGTCCACATGACATGTCGAGTGGTATTTTTTTGGAAGGAAAACTTCTAAAGAATTTTCATTGTCAGCTCAGTTACTCATATTGGATGCATGTCAATAAAAATACTTACTAAAAACGTTCTAATGACTGTGATATGTTTGTAGCCAAAGCACAAAGAAAGATACTAAAATATATTTCCAACTAAAATGCAATTGCAGTGATTTTTCCTAGAAAACTCATAAATCAAACTCTTTCTACTAGCTTTGGTTTCTGCTTTCACTGACATGGCAAGATTTTCAATTTGCATTCTGCTCGAATTTAAGCCAATCGTTAATTCCGATCGAATGCATATTTGTGCGTGTAATAAACTCGAGTTTAAATCGATTTATGGAATCATGCGTGTCGAAATTACCATACGTATGAATGCACTTAAGTGGATATTTGTTTCCTTAGGTCAATTGAGATGATATATGCTTTTGTGTGCAATATAAAAATAGTTCTGGTATTTTAAATGAGCAAACTCATACACAGTACCACAACATAGCGATAACACACAACGACATAATTTAAATTATAATACTATCGCTAATATTGCTACTTCTGAAAATATGACAGAGTTAATTATCTTACAATATAAACCAATGAAAATGAGGATGTCCTCATAAATATAATTTCTGGCGTTGAGTAGTAGCATTATCAGTGTACAGTTAAAGAATGAAATTAGAAGTTCATAAATTGGATTGATAAATAGTAAAATTATATAAATTTGCCTTTTGAACGTATGAAAATCAATATATGGGTTACTAATTGAGTATAAAATTTATTAAAACATATTGTACCTGATGATTACTACTGATTTCTTAAATACCATATGGAGCATAGGGCCTCCACCATCGATTTAAATCGTATTATATTAGGAGTTGTTCTTGTAACAATTCTTTTTCTATTGTTCTCCGCCATGTTAGGGGTAGTTAGGGGTAGTCAACCACCTAGTGTGTTCCATCGCAGTGCTTGCCTTGCTATATTATTTGCGGACGACTATATGATATAGTTTTAATACACATTCATTTATTAGAAGCACTAACTTTGCAGTAAAAAGTACAGCTATAGTGGAATTAAGTAGAGAAGGACAGTAGCAAACCAGCAAAAGATAATGTAAAATCGAATTAATCAATTTGTTTAGAAAGTATTTGTTGTTCTTTAGTGGCATTTCTCAATGTTGTGGATTATGTCTAGTATCCTTGTCTATTTATCTATCTAAAGCGAATTTACTGAATAATGTATGAGGTCAATTAGTTGATGAGCTCTATTTAATTATAATAAGTTATTCAAATAATTTTACAGAAGTTTAGGTCCCAGCATATCTTCCTGCTGGAATCACACAAAATTTCAGCCTCCCAAAATTCCCAAGAGTGAATTTCGAGAGGATCTCCAAAATCACACAATTTCGACGCATTGCCTTTGATGTGCCTTTACATACTTTCATTTATTAAGCCTTAGTGTATATCTTAATATATCTTAATTTTAATGTTTTAAGATTATTTAACATTTGTAAGATTATATTTTACATTTACATTTGTGCAAATTTCAAGCTTTTTGTTATAATAGAATTTGGTAAGTATATTACACCAACGTATAGGTTAACTATATTTAGCTAAATACCAAATTTACGGAACATTCAAAAAACATTTATGCAAAATAATCTGACAGAAATCTTATGAGATACGTTTTTCTTAATTGAGACAATTATAATAGGTGTTATCTTTTGTAAATATATTTTAAAAAGATAACCGGTTACCGGAACTATAAACTTGTCTATTGTGAATAATTTTTGAAAATACATGGCAAATGTCCAGTCATGATTGCAGTCACGTCACGGCAATTGTTGTTGCTTTCAATTCAAAATGAAAATTTGATGCTGACAGCTCATTTTATTTTGCATTGAAAGCAACAACAATTCCGTGACGTGACTGCAATTATTACATGTTCCTAAGCAAATTAAAAAGAGACAACAGCTTATTTTAAAAAGAGACACAAAACCGTTTAACCGATAAGCAACTGTCAATGTACTTGGTTTTTTAAAATTTCTATTTTTCTTTTAAATATTTGAAAGTGGTTTTAAAGAAGTTGGGTTAAATAAGCCAGCAATGTTGTTTTTTACATGCCTTTTTTATTAAAATGGTTATATTTTTAAAATCTGTCTTTATGAAATTACGCCTATAAATGCTTGCTTTTGAAGCTATCCTTTCACATATGACTCTATGTATTTGGTGCTAATTTAAATCGAAAACTTAATAATTGTTTTTTAAAAGTCAATAAAAATGATTAATTATGTTATTTGCGACAATATAAACCAATTTGCACTTCATTTCCTTCTTTCGTGAAGTCGCCTCACAAACTTAGGTTGATGTCACAATCCTTTTCCGTACAAAAACTGGACAGTTTAAGTCCGATTAAATTCTAATTGAAACAAAATTAACTTAACATCATTTTGTTAGTTCACAAAAGTACAATTATGCAATCGTATTTGTGAATAATTATCAAGTGAAGAAATTATATTTTACCGTGTGAACAAGAGTTACTTACAACGCAAACTGATTAGGCGTACCGTGTAAACAGGTTATTATTTTTCAGTATGAACAGTATTTTTTAGTTAGGTTTTGAGATTTGCTAGACGCAATATTCATAATACTTTTGACAGTTCTAAGTATTTACTCAGTAACGCAGTTTTCAAAATGAAATCAAGCACATTTTTAGTTTAAAGGACGTCAAGGAATTCCGAACATTAAATTGCTACATATCAATTTGAAAAGGTATCACAGAATTCTATACTAAATTATATTAAACACATCTGTATGGTCAGAAACGCGTGAAAACTTGCTGTTTTGAAAATCAAGCAAAATGGCTCAAATCGTAAGTTCTATTTATGACCTCCAGGGATTGTATGATAACTTTCATGATATGGATTTGTGTGAAGATTTATTGCGTGGTATTTATAGTAGTGATATAGAGAAGCCAACGGAAGTACAACAGCTTGCTCTAATGTTCTGTTTGCAAGGATATGATGTGATTGCCAATGCGCCTATAGGCACAGGGAAAACAATTGCGCTGCTCATTGCCATATTACAGAAAATCGATACAACGCTTAAAAATTGTCAAGCTCTAATCGTTGTTAAAAACTTTACAATTGCATCTCAAATAAAATATCTGCTGTGTCAGTTGTGTAAATTTATGGACGTCGACATTTTTGTTTACATGCCTAACCATAAGTTAAGTACCTGCCATCAGATAGTTATTACTACACCCATCCATGCATTGCACTTTGTTAAAACACCAGATCAGTCTGAAGGCATAAAATGTTTACTCTTAGATGATATTGAAAATATTTTAACATGTCAAAATACACGTATGCTTGAACAATTATGCCATTCTTTGCCGTGCAAAGTTCAAAAAATGCTCTCGACCACTATATTATCGAAGAAGGCTTATCAAACGTGCTGCAGCTTAATGAATAATCCAATCAAAATTCAATTGGAGAATAATAAAAGGCGTCTAGATGGCATTAAGCAATATTACATTGCCATTAACGAAATTTGGAAACTGAATACCATTCGAGACCTGTACGAAACACTACCTCTAAATCAAATTGC